TCCAGGAATTTATCCATTTCTTCCAGGTTTACTAGTTTATGTGCATAGAATTGTTTGTAGTAATCTCCGATTGTGGTTTGTATTTCTGTGGAATCTGTGGTGATCTCCCCTTTATCATTTTTTATTGCCTCTAATTGATTATTCTCTCTTTTCTTTTCTATTAATCTGGCTAGTGGTCTGTCTTTTTTGTTGACCTTTTCAAAAAACCAGCTCCTGGATTTATTGATTTTCTGAAGGGTTTTTTGTGTCTCTATCTCCTTCAGTTCTGCTCTCATCTTAGTTATTTCTTGCCTTTCGCTAGGTTTTGAGTTTTTTAAATCTTGCTCCTCTAGCTCTTTCAATTTTTACAATAGGTGTCGATTTTGGACCTTTCCTTGCTTCTCATGTGGGCATTTATTGGTATTTATTTTCCTCTAGAGGCTGCTTTAAATGTGCCCCAGAGATTCTGGTATGTCGTGTCTTCGTTCTCATTAGTTTCAGAGACCATGTTTATTTCTGCCTTGATTTCATTGTTTATCCAGTGAACATTCAAGAGCAAGTTGTTCAGTTTCCATGAAGCTGTGCAGTTCTGAGTTAGTTTCTGAACTCTGAGGTCTAACTTGATTGCACTGTAGTCTGAGAGACTGTTATGATTTCCATTATTTTGCATTTGCTGAGGAGTGATTTACTTCCAATTATATGGTCAGTTTTAGAGTAGGTGTGATGTGGTGCTGAGAAGAATGTATATTCTGTGGATTTGGGGTGGAGAGTTCTGTAAATGTCTATTAGGTTTTCTTGGTCCAGGTCTGAGTTCAAGTTCTGGATATCCTTGTTAATTTTCTGCCTCATTGACCTGTCTAATATTGACAGTGGAGTGTTGAAGTCTCCCACTATTATTGTGTGGGAGTCTAAGTGTCTTTGTAGGTCGTTAAGAACTTGCTTTATGTATCTGGGTGTTCCTATATTTAGGATTGTTAGCTCTTCTTGTTGCATTGATCCTTTTACCATTATGTAACGCCCTTCTTTGTCTCTTGTGACTTTTGCTAATTTAAAGTCTATTTTATCAGAGACTAGGATTGCAACTCCTGCTTTTTTTTGCTCTCCCTGTGCTTGGTAAACCTTCCTCCATCCCTTTATTTTAAGCCTATATGTATGCTTGCATGGGAGAGGTGTTTCCTGAATACAGCACACTGATGGGTTTTGGCTTTTTATCCAATTTGCCAGTCTGTGTCTTTTGATTGGGGCATTTAGCCCATTTACATTTAGGGATAATATTATTATGTGTGAAGGCATTTTGTTGCTCGCTGGTTGTTTTGCCCATTAGTTGATGCAGTTGCTTCATTGTGTTAATGCTCTTTACCATTTGTACATTTTTGGAGTGGCTGGTACTGGTTGTTTCTTTCTATGTTTAGTGTTTCTTTCAGGAGCTCTTGTAAAGCAGGCCTGATGGTGATGAAATCTCTGAGGAATTGCTTGTTCATAAAGGATTTTATTTCTCCTTTGCTTATGAAACTTAGTTTGGCTGGATATGAAATCTTAGGTTGAAAGTTCTTTTCTTTAAGGATGTTGAATATTGGCCCCCACTCTCTTCTGGCTTGCAGGATTTCTGCTGAGAGATCTGCTGTGAGTCTGATGGGCTTCCCCTTGTGGGTTACCTGACCTTTCTCTCTCACTGCCCTTAGCATTTTCTCCTTCATTTCAACCCTGGTGAATGAGACGATTATGTGCCTTGGGTTTGCTCTTCTTGAGGAATATCTTAGTGGTGTTTTCTGTATTTCCTGGACCTGAATGTTAGCCTGCCTTGCTAGGTCAGGGAAGTTTTCCTGGATAATAACCTGAAGAGTATTTTCCAGCTTGGATTCATTCTCTTTGTCACATTCAGGTACACCTATCAAACATAGATTAGGTCTTTTCACATAATCCCATATTTCTTGGAGGCTTTGTATGTTTCTTTTTACTCTTTTTTTTTCTAATCTTGCCTTCTCATTTTATTTCATTGAGTTGATCTTCGACCTCTGATATCCTTTCTTCTGCTTTGTCGATTTGGCTATTGAAACTTGAGTATGCTTCATGAAGTTCTCATGTTGTGCTTTTCAGCTCCATCAATTCATTTATGTTCCTCTCTAAACTGTTTATTCTCGTTAGCATTTCGTCAAACCTTTGTTCAAGGTTCTTAGTTTCTTTGCATTGTGTTACAACTTGTTCTTTTAGCTCAGAGAAGTTTCTTATTACCCACCTTCTGAAGCCTATTTCTGTCAATTCATCAGACTCATTCTCCATCCAGCCTTGTTCCCTTGCTGGTGAGGAGGTGTGATCCCTTGGAGGAGGAGAGGTGTTCTGGTTTTGGGTGTTTTCATCCTTTTTGCACTGGTTTCTTCCCATCTTTGTGTATTTATTTAATAGCTGTCATCTTTGTAGTTGGTGCCTTTCAGTTGGGGTCTCTCAGTGGACATGCTGTTTGTTGATGATGAAGTTATTTCTTTCTGTTTCTTAGTTTTCCTTCTAACAGTCAGGCCCCTCTGCTGTAGAACTGCTGGAGGTCCACTCCAGACCTGCTTTCTTGGGGCTCACCTGCAGTAGCTGCAGAACAGTAAGGGTTGCTGCCAGTTTCTTCTTCTGCTATCTTTGTCGCAGGATACCTGCCAGATGTCAGTCTGAGCTCTCCTTTACCAGGTGACTCTTTGGATATATGGGGTCGGTGAGCTGCTTGAGGAGACAGTCTGTCCTTTATAGGAGCTCAACTGTTGAGCTGTGAGCTCCTTTGTTCCATTCAGAGCTGCTGGGCAGGTACGTTTAAGTCTGCTGCAGCAGAACTCATAACAGCCTTTTTTTTCCCCAGGTGCTCTGTTCCAGGAATATAGGGCTTTATTTATAAGTTTCTGTCATGCTGCTGCCTTTTTTCACGGATGCCCTGTCCAGTGAGGAGGCAGCCTGGTCACAGTCTGCCAGCAGAGGTGTTGTTGATCTGCTGTGGGCTCTGCCCAGCTGCTGTGTGAACTTCCCTGCAGTCCTGTTTATAGGGATATAGTTAGAACTGCCTCTGCAATGGTGGCCCGCCTCTGTAATTGCAGACTCCCTCTGTAATGGCAGACTGTCTCAGCAATGGTGGGCTGCCTCAGTAATGGCGGACTGCCTTGGCAGTGGCGGACCACCTCAGCAATGGCAGACTACCTCAGTAGTCATGGACTGCCTCGGTAATGGTGGACACCCCTCCCCCACAGAGCTGGACTGTCCTGGCTTCAGCTGTGCTTGCTGTGAAACTCTGAATCCAGAGCGTTTCAGATTGCTGGTGTTTGTCAGGGTGGGACCAGCCATGCCTGATCACCTGGCTCCCTGCCTCAGACCCCTTTTCTTTCAGTTGAATGGGTGATTCTGTCTCCCAGGTGTTCCAGTCATCTGTTGAAATTGTGCCCAGATTTGTGTGAGTTCTTGTGCAGAGACCTGCTGCGCTGGCTGAAACAGCTGTGCTGGGGGATCTTGGTGCTTTTTCGCCCAGGAATCTCCTGGCCTGGCTCCCTATTTCAGTACCCTTTTTTTCAGTTGAATGGGTGACTCTTTCTCCCAGGCATTCCAGTTTCCGGTTGAATAGGCGCCTGGATTTGTGTGAGATTTTGTGCAGAGACCCGCTATGCTGACTGAAACAGCGGTACTGGTGGCACTTTTCCACCCAGGAATCTCCTGGCCTGGCTCCCTGTTTCCGTCCCCTTTTTATCAGTTAAATGAGCAACTCTGTCTCCCAGGCATTCCAGTCACCTGTTGAAAAGTCACCAGATTTGTGTGAGATTTTGTGTGGAGACCCGTTTCACCAGCTGAAATAGCCGTACTGGAGACGTGTGACAGTTTTTCACCCGGGAATCTCCTGGCCTGGCTCCCTATTTCAGTCCCCTTTTTATCAGTTGAATGGGCAACTCTGTCTCCCAGGCACTCCAGTCACCAACTGAAATGGTGCCCAGACCCATGCGAATTTTTTGTGCTAAGACCTGCCGCACTGGCCAAAACAGCCACACTGGCGACCTTTGGGGCTCCTCTGCCCAGGAATCTCCTGGTCTGTGGGCAATAAAAATCCATCTGGAAATACGACGACCACTTACCCTCCATGCACTTGCTGGGAGCTGCAATCCAGAGCTGCTCCTACTTGGCCATCTTGGATCCCCTCTCTCAGATAATTATTCTTTTTCCAATGTGATCCAGCAAAGCCAAAAGATTGGATACCACTGCCCTTAAGTGATTCTCAAGAGTTGTATAGAACAGCACTCCCCAATGTTTTTGACACCAGGGACCAATTTCATGGAAGCCAATTTTTCCATGGACTGGGGGGTGGAGCTTGTGGTGTGGGATGGTTTGGGGATGAAACTGTTCCACCTCAGATCATCGGGCATTAGATGATCTAGAGCACGTAACCTAGAACACTTCATGTGCAGTTCACAATGTTTGTGCTCCTGTGAAAATCTAATGCTGCTGCTGATCTGTCAGGAGGTGGAGCTCAGGTGGTAATGCTTGCCCACCTGCTCATCACCTACTGTGCAGCTCAGTTCCTCTCAGGCCACAGGCCTATACCAGTCTGCAGCCTGGGGGTTGATATAGAAGATGTAAATTGAGTGATATAGATTCTTTTGGATCTAATATGAGGAACATTTTTAAGAGGATCTGAGTGCTCACATTAAAGAATGTATATGCTTGTTATGGATTTAGCATTATGCTGGTACTTTGGGGTTATCTGGGAGAAATATAAGATACAGTCCTCCTTACTGCCCTCAGGGAGCACACATCCTAAAACAGATAAAATACACAGCTACAACCAGCATGTAAACAGCAGCACCTATTAGGCAGTTTGTAGTATTCTTTTTATGTTACTTGGCAGGAAAAAGAGGATGTCCTGCCACTAGACATGTGTTTTTGGCCTTGCTTGTCACTGCAAGCTGTTATGTAAATATGTTTATTATTTCTCTATATCTGCCCTTTTTCTTTGTTCTGGAGTGTGTTACTCACATTTCTCTGTATCTTTCTTTCCTACATTTCAGTGAACGGTTTCTGGTAAGACTGAACAAGAATGGTGGGCCAAGGAACCCAGAGAAGATAGAACGAATGTGTGCCCTTTTTACAGTATGTACAAATTCTCTTTTCCTTCTTTGCTGTTGACTCTAACCAGTGGCCTGCTATGTAGATATTGTCACCCTGGAAACAAGCATTTATTCTTATTTCCACACACACTGGGGAGAATGGGACTTGATTGATGTTTCTGTTAGGTTTTAATGAAATATTTATAGAAAACTGAAATTATACACAGTTTTAAACTGAATTTTCATTAAAGAAATATAAAGTACCTTTCACTGATGTAGATTTTATAAGCTATTGCATATAACAGACACTTAAAATCTTACAGAATCAATCTGGACAACATGCCAAAACCCCATCTCTACAAAGAATACAAAAATAAGCCAGGCGTGGCATGTGTCTGTAGTCACAGCTTTTGGGGGTCTGAGGCAGGAGGACCCTTTGAGCCCAGCAGGTTGAGGTCGCAGTGAGCTAAAGTCACACCACTGAACTCCAGCCTGGGTGACAAAGTGAGACCCTGTCTCAAAAAAAAAAAAAAAAAAAAAAAAATCTGACATAGATCTTTCTTACTGTTCTTATCCAAGACTACTAAGAATTTCTCTGAGGTGTACAATTTCTGATGCATAATTTATTTTAAAAATATCCACCACGTTTACAGCTTTGTGGTTTGTTAGGGAGTTCATATACAGCAAGACAAACTAAATGGTCCTATTCTAAATACCAAATGGAGGATCTTTTCCTACTACGATTTATATTATAGTTTTTTCTGAAAAGCTATACTGTTGTTCATGGTCTCTACAACCATGGACCAATCAACTTAAAAAAAGGTTTGGTAATCTGCTTTTTAGAAAATACCAAACCTCACAATGCCATCTTACCATGTGTGTTCTTTAAGTTTATTCTGATTTACAAATTCATTTTTACCTAGTTAAAAACACTATCCAACTGTATTTATTTGAGAACATTTATTTACTGTAGAAGAAGACAAGACTGTTACAATTTTAAACCAGTTTGGTTATTGTGGATTCTTTGATCTGTTTCGGTGATCCTGAGATACATCAAAACCTATTGTGATAGTTTCACAGTGTCACTGACCTTGCTTATGGTGTGTGATTGAGAGGTGACAGATACCTTAAAGCTTACATTGTGCCTCTTAAATGCAAATGAGATTTATCTGGAGATCTGATATGTGACTTTCTCTAAAAGATACAATTATATTTACTTACCTCACTTTTTAGTTCATTTATTGCAGCTTTATCTTTCAAAACATCAAATGATGTTACTACAAAATCAGAAGCCACTTTCACAGGGATCACTTTTATTGATAATGCTCCAGATGTACAGAAAGATTTATAAATCTAGCTAAGCTAAAATAATATTTTGTCCATCTTTGAGCTTAGCAGTCAAGGCTTAGGAGATAATGCAAGGAGAAAGAACAGGAAAAGCAGACCCATGATGGCACTTAAGGGAGTTGAGATGGCTTTGTATAGGAAGATCAGCACTCTCTTCAGTTGGAAAAGAACGAAAGAAAGAATCTGAATTTTAGTAAACGGGATTTAGGTTAGTCTATTGAGTGAGAGTTTCTGAAGTGGGAGTGCCTGAACACTGAGGTGGTTTTTTAGGACCTCCTTTCTGAAACAGAATTTGTAAGAGACACCCATCGTCTAGAATATCTCAGTAACCTTAGGAGGTTTTTCTAAATTCTGATTCTCTGATATTACCTGGTAAAGCATCAAAAGAAATTGTTGATTCCTTGTTTCTTGGATTTGTGGGAACAGAGCTGCATGCATATACTTCCCTTGAATTCTTGAATATGATGAGTACAGTCCTTGTCTTTTTAAAAATGAACTTAATTAGTATGGTGTTTGAGTGTAATTACAGTAAATCAGAATTTTCATTTAGCATGTTAATTATCCATATGAGCCCAGAGGCCAAAGCTGTAGCTCCAACTTTGTTGCACATAACACTCATGATGTGCTCTTGTTCTGCCACAATGGGAAGGTACAGGGTATTAAATATCCTATTAATACTTCATAATTCATAATTCTACTTGCAGTACAGCCCTAGATTTTTATTTTATGGAGTCAGGTTCTCACTCTGTGGCCCAGCCTTTAGTCCAATGGCCTGATCATAGCTCACAAAGAAACCTTGAACCCTGGGCTCTAGGTGGTCCTCCTGCCTTAATCTCCTGAGTAGTGGGGCTATAGGCACACACCTTGCTTGGCTAATTTTTATTTTTAATAGATGATGTCTTGCTATTTTGGCCAGACGAGTCTTGAACTCCTGGCCTCAAACAACCATCCCACCTTGGCCTCCCCAAGTGCTGGGATTACAGGCATGAGTCACCACACCCAGCCCAGCCCTAGATTTTTTAAAAAGGTCCCAAACATGATTTGAGGAATTTTTACAAAGTGTATAAGATTTCTCAGCAACATTATCTTAGCCAGGATTTTTATGTTTTACTTTAAGCTATATGAAATTATATTTGTGGGACCTGTTTTCTCATTATCTAAGACTTGAGTTTCTCCTATGAGCTAAAGGAGTTTCCTAGATTGGTGTATGTGCTGCAGAGTCTCAGAGGAAATGCCAGAAAATATAGCCACAACTATGGTCGATGCTGATCTGTTAGCTTACCTTAGAATAAGGAAAAGGGAGTCATACGAACGGAGCATATTACAAGGTTACTCAGCACACTTCAGAGCCACATTAAAGTCACATTATTTGGCACAGCCTTATTCTCTTTGAGGGCTTATTTTTTCTGACTTGGTTAGATTTTAGGGTTTCCTACAAAGGAATAATTTTATCCAAGGAGAATGTGTTTTATACTTACGTGGATGGCCAATACAATGATGATTTTGCTGACTTTCATGCTAAACAATGGCTGTGTGTACAAATGTATGAAAGTATGTCTATTTGTATATACTCATTCCTAGATATGCAGGACCTCATACACACTGCCTGTAGGTGTCAGTAATGATTTGTTATATAAACAAATGAATATATGTTTATTTGCTGTCATATTCAAATGACCAACTGAGAGAATGAATTTGTGCAGTTATCCATGTATTCGTTGGCATTTTTATATATGTATTTATACTCTTCTACATTCCAAGATGCAATTTTAAGTAGTGATTTCTTAGAGTTCAAAATTGAACTTATTACTATAATAACATCATGCATTAAAATACTACCTTCTTTTCTGCAACTTAAGTATCAATAAGCTGGTTTTATTTTGTATTTGTGAATCCCATTATCTCTATAGAAAAAGAGAATCCCAGGCACAGGGAAGTTAATTAACTTTTTCATGTTTCAAATGAGTGAGTTTAAAATTCTGGACCGTAAATCACTATCCTCAGTTGTCTCTTCTACACTCTGTTTAGTTGGGACCAGCTTCCTAGTTAAGTAGAATTAGAGAGTCCAGTGAACAAATCTAATTCCTGCCATGTAATCAGGATTGAAATCCTGCTCACCAGATGAATGGTAGGTACATCACCCTTCCTCTCATCTTGCTTTTACAGGTTATGTGAGTAATTTAACATAGATAACCTTGGTGCTTAGTCTTAAAGAGTATATGTTTAACAAACCCTGTGGTAACTGTGTTTAGCCATGCACTTACATTTAATAAGATAGCTTTTATATTGAAATTCTGTGGAACTCACAAATAATAATTTTGCTTATAATATTTTTGTACTAATTATTATTATCTTATTTTTATTTATGTTAAATAAATACCACTGAGAGTTCTGGGTGCTATGTACATGATGATCAGAAAGAGCCCCTACTCAACCACTCAGAAAATACCATAACTTATACTTAAGGCTTCTTTTATTCACTTAGCAGAGCCAAGGAAAACATTTAATATTCTTGTAGACAACCCATCTGATTGGTATTTGGACATCTTTGGAAAATGGCTTGTATTCTATAGGTGTTTTGGAGTCAGTGATTATACTAGTTATTTGATAGTTTGGATACACACAATCTAGGCTGTGTAGGAGGAACCATTTCACTTTGAAATGTGTTGAACATTTCTTATATTCTTCAGTAATCAACATCTTTCAATCCAAAAAGTATTTTAAAATGGTAATGTGGTTTTTAGTTTTCATTTGTTTAGTGTCAAAATATAGCACTATTTTAATGATAATATTTTAAATTCCATTTTTAATTGAAGTAATTCGTGAAATGGGTCCTGAAACACCCTTTTTCAATATCAAACACAACTTTCATATAAAAACATATCTTTGTGATTCCAGATATCAATTTATATTTAATTATTTTGTAACCTATTTCATTATAAACATACTTTATTATTATAAGAACTTGACAAAATATTACAACCATCTAAAACCTTCAGTTTCATCATTACATATTACTTCTTTTTTTTTTTTTTTTTGAGACAGAGTCTCGCCCTATTGCCCAGACTGGAGTGCAGTGGCACGATCTCAGCTCACTGCAGTCTCCACCTCCCAGGTTCAAGCCATTCTCCTGCCTCAGCCTCCCGAGTAGCTGGGATTACACACTCAGCTAGTTTTTGTATTTTTAGTAGAGAATGGGTTTCACCTTGTTAGCCTGGCTGGTCTTGAACTCCTGATGTCAAGTAATCCTCCAACCTCAGCGTCCCAACATTCTGGGATTACAAGCATAAGCCACCATGCCTGGTCCACTTAATGTCTCCTTTTCTTTCATATGTTCAGGACCATTTAGCAGGGCAGGGCTGGGACTAGGCTAAGACATGCAAAGCACAGGATCCTGAGAGTGAGTGTGTCCTTAAATTTTGCACCTAGGTGCCTTGCTTGCCTCACCCTAGTGCTAACCCTGCAATAGGGTTTACAAATTAAGAAACACAGAGACCCTGTTAAAACATTTAAAACATGTGCTCTGAATGAAGAGACACCCCAAACAGGCTTTGTGTGAGCAACATGGCTGTTTATTCACCTGGGTGCAGGCAGGCTGAGGCTGAAAAGGGCGTCAGGGAATGGGGGTATGATAGAATTTGGGTTTTATAGATTTGGGGTGAAAAATGGAATGTTACAGAAGTTGGTGGTTTTTTGCAAGCTGGGAGGGGTTATTGGGTGGGGAGTCAGGAGGTTGGGCCAAGGTCAGTTACAAAGTCCAATGGCCTTGTCAATTGAAGCCAGAATAAGAAACAATAGAAGAATGTCTCAGGTTAGTTAGGCAGGGTTTGATGGTTCTTCCTTCCAGCTACTTTAGGTTTTCTAATTCTGGAAGGCCCTCCAGAGGTGTACGTGCAGTTCATGGGGGTTGCCATACCATCCAAGGCACAATCAGACCTTACATTCCTGTCTTTTCACATTAGTAATATAAAGGAAAAATGAAGATTGGAGGGCAGTGGAATATTAGGAAGGCTGGAAACAGAGGGTGATGGGCGATGTTTCTCAGGGCTTCTTCGAGCGGGATTGGGGATGGCATGGAAACCTAAAAATGGGAAAGAATTTAGACTGCTGGGAGATCTTCGGGCAAGGGGTGATACTGTGGGTTGTTAGAAGGAGAATTTGTCATATTGACTGATTGGTTATCGCTTGTATATGATTTTGTAGGAATTGAGAGATTAATTGGAAAACACAGGGTCCAAATAACAGAAGGATAAAGATGGTATCAGAGGACAAAGGATTGGAAGAAGCCATGACTTCCAGTTAGAGAGTGTCCAGTCAGTCCAGCCAGGTCCAGAACAACCATTTGCCTGATTAGCAAGCTTTTGGGCTCTTTTAATTTATTGATGGCATCATATACGAGCCTAGACTGGTTTACATAAAAACAACATTCTTCATTTAGTAATAGGCAAATTCCTCCTTTTTCAGCAATCAGAAAATCAAGACCTCTGCAGTTTTAGAGGATAACTGCAGCTAGGAAATTTACTTGAAATTGAAGAAAGGATAGTGATTGAGTTAATTCTGCAATGCTAGCAGAGAAATCATTAGAGAGACTACAGAAAGTGCCCACTGAAGTGGTAAGGCCTGCTATGCCTGTGCCGAGTACAGTAGTAATTCCTAACCCTACAAGTAAGGGGATTAATGGAATGACCCTCTTGTGTCGTGTCGGGACCACAAAGGGAGGCTTTCGTCTCCATTGGCAAACTGAATTTTGGGAGTAAGGAAAACTAAGGGTACAAGTGCCTGTCCAGTTGGTAGGAAGGCAGATGTAAGAAGAAGAACCACAGAGGAAAAAAAGTCCTTGGCTTAGACAGAACTGGAAGTGTAAACAAAAAGTGAGAAAGTGGTCTGAGGCAGTGCTGTGGTCTTGGACTGCAGCTGTTAAAAGTTGTAGCGGGGTTTGATAGGGTAACTGTGTGGAGGGAGAGCTTTTGTTTTCATGGTGTATGAGGAAGCGTGTGGTATCTTTAAGTAACCACGCACTTTTATTAACAAGATTGGGTATGAGCAGACAGGAACAAGGGTCTAGAGGAGAGTCTGAGGAGCAAGGGTAGGGTAGCCAAGGGTAGAGTGAGAGACAGGGTAAATGCTTACCTAGGCAAAACCTGCTATTGATGTTTTAAGACTGCTAGCAATAAAGGAGGGCCTTTCTGTAATGCGCAGTTCGTATGCTCCTATTTTTTGGTTAATGTGGGTAGCAGGGCTCTTGAGGTGAAGTGTAAAGGAATACAAAGAGGATGGGAGATATAGTTATGGGGTTCAGGTTTTTGTTAGGTATTCCGTGAGAGACTGGGTTGAAGTCAGGTTCAAGAGCAATGGTTACTTTGGGAGTTTCAATAAAGAGTGCATAAAGCTGGAGAAGGCGAGGGGCTGAAAGTAAGTGTGTGAGGTACAAAGAGGAAACTAAACTTTGGAGGTTGTGAGAGCTATAGAGGGTAGATGGGGCATAGCCTGTGATTTTGAGAGTATCAGGGTGGCAGCTGTTGCCGCATGTAGACATGAGGGCCAGCCCAGGACTGTGAGGTTAAGTTGTTTGGATAAAAATGCTACAGGTCATGGGACTGGCTCCTGTATAAGAATTCCAATGGCACAGCCTTTTATTTCTGCTGTGTAGATAGAGAAGGGTTGAGAGGAGTTGGGGAGTGCTAAAGTAGGAGCAGTCTCGAAGGTCTTTTTTAGATAATGGAAGGAAGAGTGAAGGAAGGATTTTTGGCCTATGAGATCAGCTAAGTTTCCTTTTGTAGGTTTATAAAGTGGTTTGGTTAGGAGGGCAAAACCTGGTATCCAGAGGCCATGTCATTCAAGGCGGGTTCAGACCTTACACTCTGAATCTCAACACTCATTCCAAATCATGACTGCCATTTGATTGTACTTTTTTTTTTTTTTAATTGAAGAAAGACAGGCATCTGGGATCAATCAAAAGATAAAAGAGGAAAAGGATATGGAACTAAGGGAACCTTTCCTAGAAAGGGAGATCACAGAAAACCTGTTGCATTAAGGACAAAAGTCATTCCATAAGGACAAAAGTATCATTATGAAATGATAATGACTCACAATAATGACCGAGAGTAAGCAGCAAGTTGACAGCCTGGTGAAAAATCTGAAACAATATATATTAAATGAATTTTTGTTATTTCAAGTACAAGGCATCTAAAAAGTATAATGCATACTCATTAACAAACATTTCAACATATGTTCTAGACACAAATAGAATGATTATCAGGCTGGGCATGGTAATACCTGTAACCTTAACACTTTGGGAGGCTGAGGCAGGAAGACTGCTTGAGCCTAGAGGTTCGAGACCAGCTCTGGCAACGTAACAAGACCCCATCTCTACAAATAATTTTAAAAATAGCTGGGCACGATAATGCACACCTGTAGTACCAGTTACTTGGGAGGCTGAGGTAGGAGAATGGCTTGGCACAGAAGACAAGCTTGCAGTGAGCTGTGATTGCGCCACCTCACTCCATCCTGGTGTCAGAGCAAGACCTTGTTTTTTAAAGAAAAGAAAGAAAAAGGAATGATTTTCATAATGCTTTGGTTTGGAAATTTTCTGATTCTGGATCATATCTGTTTACTTAAAGGAAACCCTTAATTTTTTTCAATAAGATTATTTTTAACTTTATAATTTAGTACAAATGATGAATATCAGAATTTAGAAATGGAAATCAAATGATTGAGGTTTCACCGATACCAAATTAATCTCTTTTAAGTGTAATATACTTCATGTGTAATAATCATTTGTGGACAGAGAAATCAATGTAAAATTAGTGGAGAACAAACTTTTAGGATTTCAGTTATTGAGCTTTTCGGTGTTTTTCCAATTTTTTCTGCACTGAACATTTATTCCTTTTGTACAGAATGTTTTTACATGATGTTAGAGTAGACATGGAATAAGGCAATATCATGAATATTTCTGATGTGAGAACTTTTATAGACTTTTTATTTGTTAAGTGATCTAAATGGGAGTTGGAAAAATATTATCAATAAAATAAACGTCCAAAGGCATATAAGATAACCAGACTTTCTCTGCAGACATCTTACAAACATTGAAGTGCTATTTGCTGTAGTCTCCCTTCCCCTACCTGTAACATATAATAAAAGCAAATGAGTAGAGATTCAAAATGAATTTTTAATTATTTTCTATGTATTCCTTGCCTGAATTTACTTGTTTTTTCTCTTTTCTTAGGATCTGAGCAGCAAAGATATGAAGAGAGATTTGTATATTGTTGCCCATGTGATCCGAATAGGTACTGTTCACCTTACCCATTCATATGACTTAAGACTGACCCAACTTGGAATAAGTCTGTCTTGTGCATGACGTTTGTTTTCTCCCTAGATCTTACCTGTAATTTCAGGTCTCAGGATTAGAGTCCAGCTTGTATTAAAGCTATACCTAAACTCAACTGCTATGGTAGCTTGGTTTGATATAAATGGATTCAGAGGGGTCTTTTTGTTTGTGTTTTTTATCACTTAAAACCTTCTGCTCCCTATCTGTTTTTAGACCCAAACTTTTTATTTCAAATGATATCCTTATTGACATTGCCTCTATACCTACCCTACACTCAGAGATTTTATAGCAGTGTTCCAGGGGTGCCAACTTCACAGCAAAGGCTATTCACCACCTATTGTTTGTGTTTGAAATTATGTATCTGTCGTACTCACCACAAAATTAGAGTTATTGTCATCACTCCAGAAGATGGATGGCATTTCACTTCTACCCCACCCAAGATGAAAAAGTGATTTTTGCTGCTGTTCTGTTGTTGGTTTGCTCAGAACTTATTTCATGTTTATAATATAACTTTTGGGGCTATGGTGAACCAAGTCCTCCTTTATAGGTTTGAGTTCTGGCATATCATGTACATTTTTATCATAGAATATTTTTTAATCCCTTGCCAACAAAACAGCTATTTTGCTGTGCTAATAAAGTGTTTGTTAAGGTTCCAGCATTTGCAAGTATTCTTGCTACTGTAGGCACAGCTTTGGTAAGCAGGAAAAGTAAGCACTCATCCACTTTCTAAGACTACTTTCGGTACCACAATTGTTCAGGATGACATTTGACAACAGAATTTGGTTGAAAGAACACAGCATCCTCCCTGTCTGTGCATATGTAGTTTATACCTGGCACCTAAATACTAAGCTTTGTATCTATAATATACCTGACAAGTTTAAAACTATTATTAGCACATTGGTTTTTCTAAGAAATTCATAAAATCACTTTTATTCTTATGTGATTATTAAATGGACTGTTGATATTGGTTTAGAGGACAATAAGAATGATTGATTGAATGCAGTATGGGGAAGAGCTTTGGCTAGAGGCCTGTTTGGTATTTTTCCAGATAAATATCCTTGGATGACTCCCTTTAGTCCTGTAGTCTTCCAACTTAGATTTCCTAAGTGCCTGTAGCTCAGGCATCCTTGTATGACAATTAGGTGATACTGGAGAGGAAGCATGCTTTTCTCGGTCTGACTGGTGTTTTCTGCTGTGCCCAAGGCCGGATGCTCCTGAATGACTCAAAGAAAGGTCCTCCTCACCTGCACTACAGGCGACCATATGGCTGTGCAGTCTTAAGCATCTTGGATGTCCTACAGTCACTCACAGAAGTAAAGGAAGAAAAGGATTTTGTTCTTAAGGTTTACACGTGAGTAATGGACATCAGGAATATTAATGTTGTGTAGCATAAGACATCCCAGCACTGCCCTTGAGAGCAGCAGTTCTCAAACTTTGTGGACATGGGTCAGCCGCAGTGGCTCACGCCTGTAATCCCGGCACGTTGGGAGGTCGAGGCAGGTGGATCATGATGTCAGGAGATGGAGACCATCCTGGCTAACATGGTGAAACCCCGTCTTTACTAAAAATACAAAAAATTAGCCGGGTGTGGTGGCACACACTGTAGTCCCAGCTACTCAGGATGCTGAGGCAGGAGAGTGGCTTGAGACCCGGGAGGCAGAGGTTGCAGTGAGCCAACATCGCACCACTGCACTCTAGCCTGGGCGACAGAGCAAGACTCCATCTCAAAAAAAAAAAAAACAAAAACAAAAAAACAAAACAAAAAGCCTTGTGGACACAGAATCACCAGGATGTAGGATAGAGAGGTTCTTGAAAATGCAGAAAAGATTGATCTAAGATTTGGGGTGGAGCCCACACAGCATTATTTTTAATAAGGTTCCCAGATAATTCTGAAACAGATTCGTTTGGGACCTTCTATCCTAAAGTGAAAATCTGGTAGTATACATTTCCATTTCTCTACAGAATTAACCAGTCTTATATATTTGCAGAAAAGCTAACCATACACTTCTGATGTTTCTTTGCTATGACAGTCTTGTGTGTCTAATGCTTGCCCACTAGTTATTATTAACTGAACTGCTAATTATTAAGATTGTTTAAAAGAGTGATCACAAGTCAAGTTTATCTATCTTTGAAAGAAAGCCAGTTTCTCTGAGGAACTGAGGTATCATTCTTCACCTGTGCCACCGGAGATCAATAAGTCACATCCAACCAGGCATGGCATTATTTGTAGTGTTCTTCAGCCAAGGGATATTGTCTTAGATAAGCAGTCCATCTCTAACTTTTTAAACAATAGGAAAAACATAATAATGAAAAGAAATGCAGAATTCAGTCATATACTCCATCTTTGGTCATATAGGCTTACACACACAGAGTAGTGCTAAAAAATAATAAGTGGTGGGTTTAGTAAGTTTTTAAAGCAAGTATACTTAAAATTCTGAGAATTCTTTGAAACTCATCTTTCAGTTTAACCCAATATTGTTTATCTAAATTAAATCAAATACTGCCAATCACCATGTTAATGTTTCTTTACCATAATATCGTATAGAGATTTTTCTGCATTATCTGTTGCTCTGTCTAACTTGGGCATGAAATAAACTTAATTCACAATTTCTATTAAGCTACATTTGATTAATTTCAAAATAAAAACCCAAATATCCTCATTACCTATTTTCTCTTCAGCTTTGTTCTATTCAGACTTGTATACTTGATGGGATGAGAATCTTCCTTTGGAATCATAACTTACAAAGAAAACTTTGGCTGGTTTTCTCCACCTTCCATGCATCAGTCATAGGCTTTCTCCATTTACCAAATCCCCACATTGATGGGTGGAGGAACCTGCTTGTTTATATGCCTTCCTTTCTTTGAAAAGGACTAAACAGAAATCCAGAATCATCATTATTATCATCTTACTCCACTGTATTTTTTCTAAGGGCAAGGGATTTATAGATAGCACTCTAGAATTGCTGTGTCTTTGCATGTATTATCTCTTCCTTGTTTCGGTGCAAATTTTCATTACAGATAGGAGCTTGCACAGCATTCTTCCTGAAATCATGCTGTCAGGCTTAATTGGCCTAATTGCTTTTAAAGCAACAGCTTTCTGCGAGAAATGAGATTCACATATATATTTTTCTTAGCTCCTTCTTATGGGCTGTGTCTAATATACCAGTTCTTAAAAAACTGAAGAAAAATATGTTTATAGAGAAAATAGTTTTTTCAGAATTTCTTTTGAAAGATTAACAGAGTTAAAATGTACAATGATTTTTCAACCGGAAAATGTTAACAGACTTTCAGACAGACTCTCAAATGCATGTTTATAAAATTGATTTTGTGTGCAGTATAGAATTATTATAGGATTAGTCATTTTAATCCACATCAGCACAGTGAATCTAGCCCTCAAGAGAAGCAGTATTTTCCAGTAAATTTCAGGCAATGTTTTTGTTGGTTAGATTGAATTGGAAGCTTAAAGAGTTCACTAATTGCTATTGATAGTGCTTTAGCCTTTGTAGGACAGGATTTTACAATGATAAAAACCTCTTACACAGTTTTAATCAATGAGTTGGCAAATATCTGATTAGTTCTTCACATTCTTATTATTTCTTTCATTGTTCGTAGTCAGCCCTAACCAGAGAAGATTCAAACTCCTGTCTGTCTCTGCCAAGGCCACTACTCTGCTGTATGATGTTGTTTTTATATGTTTATGGAAAGGCACCACATCCTTTTAAGAAAATTGCCATAAGAAGTTGAGGCATGAAAACTAGGTTGCTTCCAAATGAGTCATATGCCTTAAAACTCATAAATAAATAACCATATGTGCATTTCAGTCTGTTACAGATAGCATATTTTTCTTGGCCAGAAGGACAAAGGGTCACAAGCAGGCACAGGGCACACTGTACTTAGAACCCAGGACACAAAAGGAGAGGAGTGCCAGGAACCAAAGCCAACACTGGAAGGGGTGGACGTCCATAAATAATGCATGTAACAAAATACAAGATGGCTTTGAATATGTGATGATCGCTGTCCAGTTTTACAATGAAAAATGTCCAAATAAGCATATTTAGGCCAACCTTAATGAAACAGATAAATACGTGTTTTCAATATTAAATTTTTAATTTGGGTTACATTTTATATTATAAAATACGTATTATAAATTATGTACCAATCACATATTATGTAAAATTGAGATATATTACTTATTCTTGACTCTCAAATTTCGTGAAAAAATTATTTAAATTATTCATATGCAGCCATGCCATCAGGTCTTTGTCATCACTTGAGCCACTTTCTGAATCATCTGACACAGTTTTCCAAGGCACATTATTTTTACTTCATCAGACTGGCTTTGCTGCATCATTCTTTTACTCTTTCCTGATGCTTTCACACTGGAAATTTATCTTGAGGCATAAGATGATACAGCCACTTACTATGCTACTTTTATGGTGATTTTCACAATAGCATTTAACACTTCAATTTGGTGATCATACCCCAACCATAATTCCTAAATCTGTGTAGCTTTGCTCCTTTAAAAAAAATGTATTTCAACCAATTCTGCCAGAAAACCTTCATAAACATCTAAAAACTCGAGGTAATTTGAGGTTAATATAATTTACCTAGACAGTGCTGTGATGTTCAAAATAAAGAGATTCAGAAAATGCCCCATATCATGACAGGCATTATGAGGACAGAAATATCAAGTGGCATATACCTACTGTGTACCCACAAAAATTAAACATTTAAAGAAATAAACGGTTTTTTAATTAAAGCAATATTAGGTGGCAACCTCTTCTGTGAGTAATGACTAGAAGGGAACTGCTCCTCATACTTGGGATAGACACTAGGCCTAATCAGGAGTTTTTTGAGAATACTGTCTTGGATTCTTTGCTTCATGGCTACCTTAACCATGAAACTGCCTTAGGCGTACTTGTTTAGGAGCCATTTTTTTCTTTTTCTTTTTCTTTTTCTTTTTTTTTTTTTTTTTTTAGACAGATTATTGCTCGCTCTTTTGCCCAGGCTGGAGTGCAGCAAGTGGTGCGATCTCAGCTCACTGCAACCTCTGCCTCCTGGGTTCAAGCAGTTCTCCTGCCTCAGCCTCCCGAGTAGCTGGGACTATAGGCACGTGCTGCCACGCCCTGCTAATTTTTGTATTTTTAGAAGACAGGGTTTCACCATGTTGGCCAGGATGGTCCTGATCTCTTGGGCTTGTGATCTACCTGCCTCGGCCTCCCAAAGTGCTGGGATTATGGGCGTGAGCCACTGCACCTGGCCAGGAGCCATTCTTAAATGGAAGAACATTCTTAAATGGGTAGAGGCCCATGGGCCGTCCTCTTTTTATCCCCCAACCTTATTGAGGTATAATTGACAAATAAAAATTTATACACATTTAAATTGTACAACATGATGATTTGATATACATGAACGTTGTTAGATGATAACTACATTCAAGCTAAGGAACATATCCATCACTTCACATATTTACTTTTCTTGTGGTGAGAACACTTAAGATCTACCATCTTAGCAAATATGTAATGTAGTATTATTAACTATAGCTACCATGCTGTACATAAATCTCCAGAAGTTATTTGTCTTACAACTGAAAGTTTGTATCCTAAGATGAACATCTCTACACTGTCCTCTAGCCCTTGGCAACCACCATTCTACTCTGTTTCTGTGAATGACTTTTTTAGATTCATCACATAAGTGAGAGAGTATGTATTTGTCTTTCCATATCTGGCTTATTTTACCTAGGCTAAAGCCTCCAGGCTTGTCCATGTTGTCACAAAAGCAGGTTTCTCTTTTTTGTTATGTTTGAATAATCTGTTATATGTATAATAGATACATATTTTTAAATTTTATACTATTATTTATTACATTTCAAAAGATAAAATGGATGTATTTATCTCAATGGTCATCATAAGTAAATATAATTACAATGGGAATTGACAGATGAATAATAAAGAAAATATATAATTCCTTATTCATCTGTCAATTCTCATTGTAATTGTATATATTCTTTATTATACATAATTATATCTTCTTTATTATTTAAAGAACTATATATATTCTTTATTATTATTTGTCTATTGATGGCTGCTTGTTTCCATATCATGGCTAGTGTATATAATACTGTAGTAAACCTGGGAGTGCAGATATCTCTTCAAGATACCGATTTATTTTTCTTTGGCTATATACTAGAAGAACGATTGCTGGATCAACTAGTTGTCCTATTTTGAATTTTTTGAGGAACCGCCATACCATAATGGCTGTACCAATTTACACATCCAGCAACAGTGTTCAAGGGTTCCCTTTTCTTCACATTCTTGTCATTACTTGTTATCTCTTGTTTTATGATTACAA